CCTCCCCCCCGGCCCACCTCCCTCAGTCCTGATCCAGAAAGCAGCAGAACTCCAGCAGGGTCAGACGTACTCCTGCAGGCTGTAGCTGTCCTTGATGTCTTTCTGAGGGGTTCTGGAGGGGGACGGGTCTGGACGGAGCCTGGAGGGGGACGAGTATAGCCTCTGGTCCAGGTTCTGGTCCACAGTGGGTTGCTGTACCTGGTCCTGATCCAGGTTCTGGTCCGTCTGCAGCTGCACGCTCTTGTTTTGCGTGTTGGGAGCGTCCTGCCGGTTCTGCTGCTCGCCTCTTTTCGGACCCGGCCGGTCTGGTTTGTCCGAGGACCAGTACTCGGTCTGTCCCGACCCGTTCCCGGGACAGGACAAGCAGAAGATGACCCCCCCGGCCAGCAGGAAGCCCGCAGAGATGAAGGTGAGGCACAGAGCCCCCCCAGGCTGGTACTTGCTGCTGTCAGGCAGGTCCGTGGTCAGGAAGGTTCTGATGACCTCGCTGGTGAACCAGGACGCCGGGACCAGACTCAGGAGGCTGGCCAGGACGAAGCAGCCCCCCGCCGCCACGGCCGTGCGCCCCTTGGCCCGCCGGCTGCCCCCCCAGCGGGTGCACTTGAGCCCCAGCGAGGCGAGGAAGAGTCCGAAGGTGGCCAGCAGGCAGGACAGGACCATGGCGGCCCGCATGGTCTGCAGGGAGGCCGGCAGGGACAGGACCGAGTGCTTCAGGGTGCAGCTGAAGACCCCCGAGCTGTACCACACGCAGTCCATCCACAGACCCTGCATCTGCGACACGGGGCTCATGATGCTGCTCCACACGTTGGCGCTCACCTTCCAGTTGGGCAGCAGCGTGGCCACCGTGGCCCCCAGGACCCCCAGCAGGGCCAGGACCAGCGCCAGGATCTGAACCGAGGCGGGCAGCATGTCTCAGACACCCCCGGTCCAGTCCGGCGGGGTTCAGCGAACCCGGCTGCAGAGAAATCCCGGGCTCGGCTGCGGCGAGCAGAGGAGAGGCGTGGATGCAGCGAGCGTGGGAGCGTGACGGACTCACAGCTGAGGATCTGACACCTCATTAAACCCCCCGCCCCCCCAGCACCGCAGAGACCCCCGCGCCGCGCTGACTCCTAACTTAATCCTGCTGGGTCCTCCGCCTCTGAAAGTTGAGCTGAAACCGGTTCTGGTTCTGTGCAGACTGGAACCAGTGGGTTAACAGCCTCTAACTACAGCTCTGCCTCCCGTCTCTGTGGCAACTGGACCGCTTCCTGCATCCTGTGAAAGGAAGAGTTTCTGTTTGCCTGGTTCTGGTTCTGTAACCTGAAGGTCACCGGACCTGAAGGTTCTGGAGGCGCCGCAGAGCCACTGTTTTATCTGATGATGGGGTCCGGCAGACCTGCAGCGCCTGAACTACTGGTTTAAATGGTTTTCAGCAGGTTCGGAGCGGCACCACTTCTGGAGCCCCTGAGCTCAGATCTGATCAGTCCTGGTGGTCCCGGCTGTGGTTCCAGTGGTCCCGGCTGTGGTTCCGGTGGACCCGGCTGTGGTTCCTGTGGACCCGGCTGTGGTTCCGGTGGTCCCGGCTGTGGTTCCGGTGGACCCGGCTGCAGTGCGGTCTTTGTCGTTCGGAGCTTTTTGTTCTGGTTCTGGAGATAACGGCGGCGAGCCGTGAATCAAGGTGTCTCCTGTCATGTGACCGAGTGAAGGAGGGTCCACTGCAGAGTGCTGATAAGGGTCCGCAG